ATGTTTTTTTCGTTTTTCGATTATTACAGCACCTATTTTTAACAAGCCCTAATTATGTATCCAAAAATAGTCGTATATAAGTGTGATATATTTATCTATATAAATTTAAATTTAAAATCTTATTTCTTTATAAGTACATAATTTTTAATTTTGTTTAAATATATAGCTTAATTTGTTTGATATAAAAATTACATATATTTACCTAATTAGATGCTTCAAACTCTTTGTTTTGAAAATTTCTAGACGCTAGTCGAGCGGTCGAGTTTGCTATTTGCTAGTCAACTTGTTTCATGTAATTGTTGTTTGTTTGAGCTTGGTAATCTATATGTTCGTTTTTCTCTTTCAACAAGAGTAGTCTGTTTGTTTCTTGTTATTGCTTTAGATCTAATTTCATTTGTTGTAATTGATGTTTGTTAGAGCATAATTGATTTGCGTTTCTTCTAAATACTTGTTTTTTTTTGCAGGTGACAAGGAAGATTTCTCTCTTTACTGCTACCCCAGGACTTGGACTTGTTACATCACCATTGAAGGTAATCTGCTAGTTAACTTGTTTCATGTAATTTCTGTTTGTTTGAGCTTGGTAGTCTATATGTTCGTTTTTCTCTTTCAACAAGAGTAGTCTATTTGTTTGAGCAATTACACTTGTTTCATTTGTTGTGATTGCTGTTTGTTATAGCATAATTGATTTGCGTTTCTTCTAAATACTTGTTTGCTAGTTAACTTGTTATATTTTTGCTAAAAACATGACTATGCAATTATTTAACAAAAAATTTGAGTAGATGTATATTTTTTCTGCCAAAAGAAAAACAAAAATCTGTTGTTTTCGTCATAAAATGGTTTTGCGATTCCTTTAGTAATTAATGTTCATGTTTTGTGCACATTGTGGAATAAATATTTGTCATGATTCAAAGTCGACTCCTGGCCTTAGTTTTCGATCAACTATTTTGTAAAATAAGGAAATTAGATTGTGTATACTTTTACTCACAACTCCCCTCACCATGAATCTTGTACATACGAGATCACTAAAACATGCCCCTCCAAATGAATGGTAGAGTCCTCAATCATCATCACACGCGTCTATTGTCCATGAATCTTTTATACATAAAAAAGTCAATTTTCAAACTTTTGAAAAACATGAATTGTTTTTTAAAATACAAGAAATTACGACCAAAATCTTCCTTCAAATTCAATCTAAAGGATATGACGTAAATACATATATACTTAAATTGATTAATATGATAATTAATGGCATATTGACTAAAATCAGTAACATATAATTTTAAGTTTTAAGAGTCAATATTCTTTTCTTAATTTAAACAAGAACATTCTTAGTGTCATAATATTAAACAAGTTAGTGGCTCTGATTAGTTGATTTGAATTAGTCCTTGCTTTTGATTCATAATAACATTGATGATGGAAACACTCGATCATGACCTATATCTCCTATTAATATACTCTCAAGGTTAATTTATACAACGTAAGAAACACAAAAATTATATATAGACCAGTCGTCCAGCTTTATCGCTAAGAAACACAAAAATTATATGTACATGTATTGTTAGGTACAAGCTACAAGAAGAATGGGTTTGAAAATGTCAAGCAATGCTCTTCTTCTATCTTTGTTTCTTCTACTTCTTTGTCTCTTTTCTGACATTAGAGGAATTGAGACCACTCACCGAAGACTAGGTTAGTGCCTTCTTATATATGTTTCTTAACATCTTATATTAACCTAATTTATGAAACTAATATAAAGGATCAATTGTTTCAAATCATAGATGTATACCAACTAAATGTAGATGTAAATATTTGATATATTTTTTTTGGTACACCCATAAAACAAAATGTAACTAAAGAACAAACGAACTTAACGTAGAGTATAATTGTAAAGCTTAATTTTTCATTCACAGTTGCATGTAAAATGATATTGTGGTTGCATTTATTTTCATTCAAATTATTAAAATTTTCATGTATTGTTCTATATATGATTCTTATTCACCATTTATAACACATATATGATTCTTATTCACCATTTATAACATAAAGTCCGCATTATTGATCCATATATAGTAGGTTCATCTTGTTCATGCGGAGGCAAAGGAAGTGGTTTTTCACGAAGATCACATGAACGACCATGCCCACGTTCACGTCCTTTTCCACCTCCACATGCACGGTAATAAAGAAGGGGAAAATAAGATATCACAATTTCGATTTTCCTTAAACGCGAAATCGGTAGATATTTCCACTTGACCAGGGGCTTTCACCCGATCTTCCCCCGATTCTAGAGAGATTATGGTCCAAAGCCCAAACTTCCTAATTACCAAAAAAAAAAGATATCACAATTCTACTTTAGTGCTTAAATTTTTTATTTTTTATTTGTACATAGAGAAGAAATTGGTTTATCATAATAAATAATACTATTTAATTAATGATTATTACAGAAAATTAATAAAACTAAAACTAAATAAAATGAAGGCAACAAGAAGGATGGTTTTTTCGATGGTTAATACGTTTCTATCTTTTTACAATGGTTCCTCACTATCCATGATCGAGCGGTAGTACTATGTTACTTGCCACAAGGTTTGGACTATATAAGTTGGTATACCAAAACGAGTTACTTACTCTTACCACAAAACCAAATTATCCATTAGCACTTGGTTTTTCGTTTCTCTTTTTAACACCGAAGATGGTGAGACTTAAGCCTGAGAGAGGATGTTCATATGTTACTAATTTTTTCTTTAATATTTCTGCTATTTTAAAAAGAAAAAAAAAATATTCTTTCAAGTCGTTTTATTGTATCAAAACTAGTATTAATGTCCATGCATGGTCTTTTTTTATATTCAAAAGTCAATTTTTCAAAGTTTTGAAAACATGAATCATTTTTCAAACTAGAAGAAGTTTTTTTTGGGTTATTTTGCAAAATATCCATTGAAAATCCAAAAAACAAATTTGACTACAACTAGTAACAAACAAATTTTAATTGTTAAAGTCAATATAATATTTATTCCTGAAAAAGAAATATTGATGATGAAGTGCTCACGAAAGCAAAACTTTTGGTCCTATATTTTTAAATTCTAAATAAATATTCATTCTTACTTCTTAGCGCGTTATATCAAATGATTTAGACAAAACACTCGATATCGACATGTCCAAGAAAATTTATACAACGTACCAAGAAATTGCATGCAAAGAAAGTCACAATTGGATTATTAATATAAAAAGTTTATTAAACCAAAAAAAAAAAATTATATATATATATAAGAAGTTTAATTATCTCAATAGCGTATATATACACCGATCTAGTGTTATTGCTAAGAAAAAAAAAACTATATATTATACTTGCGTAGTTTTAGCCTTTTAGGTACATGCTAGAAGAAGAATGGGTTTAAATTTGTCAAGCAATGCTCTTCTTCTATCTTTGTTTCTTCTAATTCTTTGTCTCTTTTCTGAAATTGGAGGAATTGAAACCACTCACCAGAGACTAGGTTAGTGCATTTGGATTACTAAATATGCTACAACCAAATTTCAAATCATATTTTTGATACTCTCTCCATAGATAATTTTTTAGGTTTATGTTTTTTCTAAAATAGATGATTTTCTCTCAAATTTATGCAAAAATTGATTGTACTTTTATTGGTTTTAACAATTTATATTCTACAGATTGTTTTTTATTGCTTAATTTTTTTTTATGTAGATATTAAATAATGTTTTTATCTTAAAACTATCAAAAATTAATTATTTATTAATCTGTGTGCATTTACTCAAAAAATTCACCAAAATTGTAGGATATATTAAGTTTATTTTTTTTGCACATAAAAATTGTAGGATTTGTTTGTTTTCTTTTATAATTAGTTTAGTGTCATTAATTTCTAATATAAAGTTCGCATTGATCCTTAGTAGAAGAGCCTCCTATAGAACTAGCTGCATCTCCATCGTGTTCATGTGGAGCAAGTGCTGGAAGTGCTCCTCCGATACAACAACAACGTCCATGCCCACGTCCACGTCCTTGTCCACCTCCACGTGCACGCTAAACCCTACTAAAGAACGTAAAGGAGAAGGAAAATTTGTAATATCAAGTTTAATTAGCAGCCTCTTATTAAATTGAGATTTTGTAATATTCATATTAATGCTCTAAGTTAAGAGGGGTACTCGAAGTATGACAGTATTATTATATATTTCCTTGGATGTAAATTAATGTTCATGTTTAGCGCCTTTGTATTAAACAGGATTAGTGTGGTTCTTGATTTGAATTAGTCTAACATTTTGATTAAAATTTAAGAATAACACTGATGGTGGAAAATTTATAATCTATATTTACAAAAATAATATTTATAATTAACCAACGTTTTCTTATAATCCTATTTTCTTAACTAAGAAACGGCAAAAACAAGGTTCATAAATGGTTTACTTTATAAATTGTGTATATAATACATGGAGCGTTACGTTTACTTACGTACATGCTAGAATAAGAATGGTTTCAAAGAGGTCAAGCGATGCTAATCTTCACTCAAATCGTCTCGAGGGAGGAGGAAGAGAAAACATAGTTATACATAATTCACGTATTCCAAGAACATCCCCCGTAGGTAATATACAAAATGTAACTAAAGAACAAACGAACTGAACGTATAGTGTAATTGTAAAGCTTAATCTGTTATTCACAGTTGCATGTAAATGATATTGTAGTTGTATTTATTTTCATGCAAATTATTAAACTTTTCATGTATTGTTCTATATATGTATTCACCATCAATAACATAAAGTCCGCATTATTGATCCATATATAGTAGGTCCATCTTGTTCATGCGGAGGCAAAAAACCTTCTCGATGCCCACGTCCAAGTTCACATCGTTGCCCACCTTCACGTCCACGCTATTAGATTGTGGGATTCCAATTTAAAACCAATTGAACATGAGTGGAGAGACCCATATATCTTATATACTAGTCATGATCCTACTCAACTTCTAATGTGAGATATTGTATCCCTAATACGCCCCCTCTAGATGATGACTCTTTGGGCCATAGATTTCGGTATGTTCGGGCATAAATCGGTGGGCCAAATATGGGTCAGACCGATTGTGGATTGGGTTGAGTATATGCAGACCGGACTCTGATACCATATTAGATTGTGGGCTTTCAACTTAAAACCAATTGGCCATGAGTGGAGAGGCCTATATATCTTATATATTAGTTAGGATCCTATTCAACTTCTAATGTGAGATATTGTATTCCTAATACACGCTCTTGAAGAAGAAGGGTGTTTTTAATAGTTTGTTAATTAGATATATCAAACAATGTTTACCTTAAACCTCCAAAAAAATAAAATGAAGCCACCGGTTTTATTCTTTTTACATCTTCTCCTTGGAGTGTTCCAACATGATTGATTGAGCGGAATTCATATATTATGGTTTATTTTCTTGAGTTGAAATGTGAAAATTTATTACTCAAAAAAGTACCTTAAGGTGAACATGAAGTGGATTATTCTTGGGTCATCTGCAACAAAACGAAGTTGCAAGTGAATTAATAGCCAAGCGAAGTGGATATTTGAAGTGGCCATCAGCAACAAAATGAAATGGTTTTTTCTTGTAATTTTCGCTAGTTCGTTTGGCTACGGTAAAGATGAACATGATGAGAACATAACCGAAGTAAACCGGTATCAATTAAGATAACGATGAAACGATGAGAATATCATTTGTGATCTTATTGTTGTTAGTGGTTTTAGGTAGATTATGTTACATCTTCTATTCATGTTTATCTGTTAAATCTTCTATTCATGTTTATCTTCTTTATTTTAGGATTGCCCTTAACATGTATAAATACTCATAACATCTTATGATGAAATATATGGAGAAAAATGTTTAAAGTCTATTGTTCTTATAAGCTGTTGATTGGAACCTATCATAACATGCCTATGAGGTTATTGATTTTTTATCTAAGAAATAAAATAACTATGAAGTTAGATAATCTCCATATTGCGAATGAAGTTTGGAAGATAATGATTAAGTAGCAATCTGGATGGAAATACCCCATTATATATATATGATATGTACTTAATTACTTCATGTGTCACAAAGTTAAAAAAAAAAAGCTTTATAAGCCCGTGAAATAAGTACTTATCTCTTTTTATCTGTTTAATTGTAAATTAATGTTCATTCTTAGCTTTTTAATTTACTTATTTTTTGAATAAAATGTAAATATTGTACGAAAAAATACTTCTGTAAAACTAGCACAACGATTTTCATTAAACTGAACATCATAACTAAATAATCAGCTTAGATGTTATCTAGATGGAAATCAAGTGATCATACATCCATTAAACTTATCATCTTCTTGCTTTCGAATTGACAAAATTATGTTTCGAACTTGTTGGTCTAGTCAAAGGTGGTTGGACGTAGGTCCTGTTCGTTACTCCATTTTACATATTTCCTGGTGGATGATGCTTATTTTTAGTGTTAAACGAACATCATCTCTATAATTCATTTAGATGGTACATTTGAATGGAGAAACGAACATGGTAGAAACTTCACCGTGTCTTCGAAAGCACCTTAGCTTTTTAAATTATATAATAAATTATTTGTGACTCTTGATTTTTGATTCACAACAACGTTGATGGTGGAATAAGTCTTCATCCACAAATGTGTCGATAGAATAGTTTATACAACGTACCCAAAAAAACAGCAAAGAAAGTCTTAATTGGTTGGCGTTGGTTATGATCACTTTTTCTTCAATAGCTTGTTTTATAAACCGGTCTAGCTAGCTAGTATCTTGAAATATCTGATATACATGAAAACGTTACATGATACAAGAAGAATGAGTTCCAAGAGTTCAATCAATGCTCTTCTACTATTTTCGTTTCTTCTACTTCTTTGTCTCGTCTCTAAGTCCACTGGCCGGAGAATAGGTCAGTGCCTTCTTATATAACTCTTTGTTTTCAGTTTTCACTATAGCTCAAGCTATCACTAATTTTTTGTTTATCCGGTAAAGAATATGTTCATTATCTTAAAGGATTCCTTTAATTCCCGGTTTAAATATTCGATGAAAGAGTTACTAGAAATGACAAATTTATAAAAAAAACTTTGTATGCGAATTTGAATCCGGCTAGCTAGTAAGCGAGTATATATAATAACACTAACATATAAATCACTAATCTTACAAGAAATGTTCATGATATAACTGATTTTACTCCTCATTTTTAACAAATATTTTTAACTGATTCCACATTCAGTTTTAATAGAAGGACCTGTTAGAGGGCATATTACAACCTCTTCATCTTGTTCATGCGGAGCCAGTAGAGATAGTGGACGTGATGGAAGACCAAATCCACTTCCACGTCCATGCCCACGTCCACCTTCACGTCAATGCCCACATTAACGTCCTGGCTCTTCAAGAGGATCTACAATACTCTCAAAGACAAAGACATGAGATCTTATCTCTCAACTTGGTTCAGGTTTATCTAATAATCTGTAGCTAATTCATGTATGCTTAATATAGAAATTACTTCGTTCTAAACCAATCATGTTTATATATCACATAATTGCGACCAATTCATCAAGATCATTGATAGTGGCACTAATTAAAGCCAAGGTAAAAAAATTATGTTTTACATTTTTTCTTTCTAAACAAGTCAATTTAGGATCTGCTCAAGTTTACTATCCTTCTTGATCAACTAAATATGAAATGGCAAAGAAGTCGTATTTGGCATATATCATCCACAACAAAGGGACAAAACATTAATCTCTTAAAATTCAATTTTTAGCCACTCTTTTTGTCAACAACGAATCTTTGTGGCTAATATAGAAACCGTGTTCACCTTTGTCAACATTTTAGAAACAACCAAAAGATTTTGAAGTTATATATGCGTGTTCACAAGACTTGGTGCACTCGTGTTACCACTACTTCTTATACTTTTCACTCTCTCCTCTCAAGTTGAAGTTGTGGAATCTAGAGACCGCAAACTTGGTAAATGTCTTTATAGAGCAAATACACATTGTATTAGTTACTAAAAACTGTGAAAAAACTAAGAACTTGAACCAAGCATCTCACTAACTTAGTTTAACGTTAATTATAATGTAGCGTTTTGGGAGAAGCCTATCGTGTGGACACCTCCTTCAAACTCATGTGGAGCTTTTCCAGCAGCAATAGAGTCTTCCAAGTGGACGACAGGCCGACCATGCAGACATAGTCGTCCTCCAGGAACTAATATCTCAAACTCTTTAATACTTCAAGTTTGTGTCTCTTTTGGTAGAGTCACAATAGAGTCACCAAATGCTAATAGATCAATTGGTAAAAAATTCTTGCAAATACTTAGAAGTCGCCGGTTCGAGTAGCATTTGGAACGAGACCATAGAACATATTCTGGTCTCGGAACTGAAGAGATGTATGGGTTTCGGCCCATAAGCTCTTTGATTATTTTTTTAAAAAAAAGTCACAATAGAGTTCTTTTATTTATTTATTAATTTGTCTTTTGGTAGAGTCACAATATTGTATCAAGTGTCGATCTTACCTATATGAATCAATGAAGGAATGAACTAATAATCAATTAAAAAAAATATCTAGACTTTTATCAATAGTAATTTGTGATTATCGTAATACAATATTAAAAGGCCATCTGACTAATGAGTAATAATTATATTATGATATCGCATTAAAAACGAAAATAATTTAGAAATGTTGTCGGTAATTCTTCAAACTACGACAGCAATAAGCTGTCAACTGAAACCCCACGTTGGAATAATTTTCTGATTTGTGTTGAAGTTTGGGCTTAGCTCTATGCTATAGGCTGAGTGTCAATTTCAATGGATCTTAGATAATATCTCTTATAGTTTGGGCCTGCTAGTGTTGTGTTGAAACAAGAAAAGAGACAAAAGGGGTAAGTAAAAGACAACAGAGAGAACGAGAGTCATAGACCCCGAATGACAATCCGTTTTGAGTGTGATTGCGATTCGATTGAGGAAACGATGTGATTTGGGAGCGATGTGATTAGTTAAAATTGTATATGGGGATACGATTTGGGTGCGGTGCGATTAGATCATATTCTTGAATGACAAAATGATTCAGCTCGGGTGCGGTGACCTTAGGCCTTGAATGAAAGTGCAGATTAAAGGCAGATTAAAAGCAGATAATACACATGATGGGGGAACTGCTATTTTTCCTCCATTCACACAAAATTAATATAATGGCAGTTCAAAAAAAAAAAATTATTAAAAAATAATTGATCTGCTAGCAGATCAAAAATAAGAAGGATATTTGTACTTTACTATGAACAGTAAAAAAACTGGAGATTTGGAGTGTTTTTAAATGAACTGCTTTTTTTAATAAAAAATTAATAAAACTTGATCTGTATTTAATATGTCATATCTGCTTAATATGCTTTTATTCCGCTGGGTATATTTGAACTGCTTGATCTGATCTGCCATATTTATTATCTCCATTCAAAGCCTTAATCGAAATTTAACCACACTCCCATTTAAACATCGTATTTACAGCTACAGAGGAATGAGTTGTGAAATGTTGAAAGTAGAGATGTCAAGAGCATTAAAATCCATATGTAGCTTTGGGGAACTCGTTACGTCGCAAATAAATTTCATTTTCTAATGATATTTACAAGTTCGAAAAAAAAAAAGAAAAAAAAAACAAATTAATTTTGATAATTAATCACCTAGACTCAAAACGAAATGCCACCTAAGAAACAATATGCTATAATTGATAGTGGCATAGTACTGCGAGACTTTGTTATAATCTTTTCGACATAAGTCAAAGTCATCAGTCAGTTTCATCTAAAATCCCACGATCTCATCATACACATATAGAGACACTGAAAATAAGGTGCACGAGTCAATGCTATTTTCTTCTAAGTCAACTTACATTATTAGTCAACTCAACTTTATTTTTCTTCTCCACTACTTAGAAATGACAAAGAAGTCGTATCTCAATGAATCTTGTAGGCATGTAGGTAATGTAAAAACCGCTTTCACTAGTTAAAATTTTGAAAAATTACGTGTGAGCTAGTAATTAGCTAGCTAGTGTCTTCTCTATATATATCACAAGACTTACAATAAAAAAAACCACAAAGAAGGAGAAGATGGGTTCTAAGTCTCCAAGCATTGCTGCACTTGTGTTAGCACTGCTTCTTATACTTTTCACTCTTACCTCTCACGTTGAAGTCGTGGAATCTTCTGGCCGCAAACTTGGTAAGTTTCTTTACACCAAATACGCATTTTATTAATGAATTTTTCTTAAGTAAAAGTACGTAAAAGTTACATAATTAAATTCAAAAAAAGTTACATAAATAGGTCTTCATATTATATATACTAGTAAAAAAAATACTTATAACCATTTGGCAGTCGCAAAAATTTGTGGCTATAAGATGATTAAAAAAAAACCACGAATTATTTAAGCTACGACGCTATAGCCACGAATATTCAAGTGGCTATAGCATATATTTTTTTACTAGTTTAATGACTTTTAGAATTATATATGTAGATGCAGCTAGCCTCTTGAATTTATTAATATTGGTATTTTTGTGTTATTATTTATAAACATCTCAAGAGGTAACATATATACTTGTATACAAATACAAGTTACACTATGTAACTTAAATATCCTAGTTTACCTTTTAGATTTTGAAACAAGACATATACAAACAAGTGTATAAAAGATATTTATCATTAGAGTAAGAATTTCTGAGTAAATTTTGCGAAACTAACGAGTGTGAAAAACCAATTTGTCCACCAAAGTTATGAATTAAAAACATATGTCTAAGTTTAGTTTGAACTTTCTTAACGCAGCGTGGGGGTTTTCGGGAACGCCTATTGTGTACACACCACCATCAAGGTCATGTGGAACTTCCCCAGCAGTATTCACTTCGAGTTGGAGAAGACCATGTAGACTTCCTCCAGGAGGTGGTATTATTACTGCTGACAAATCTCCTTAACTACGTGATTTTGTGTCTCAGAACTTTGATGTTCTATGCAATAATAAAGTGTCGTATGTGGTTGTCTGATTTGGTTTCATTTCTCAAGTGTACTAAGTAGGCTTTTTCACGTATTATGAATGATTCAATAAACATAATGAACTAATACTTATTGATAAGTTGAGTCGATGATCAGTTACTAATGTTATTATCCATTATCATCATACTGAGCCTTTCCTCAATAAATAGTATAAGGTTTTACATGCATGTTAAGAAACTTAATATATATATATATATATATATATATATACGTATTAGCATTTATACATATACAATCAAATATGAATTGTTTCATTTCTTTCAATTTTATATTGATAGAGAGAAAATTAGTAAATAATACATAAAACTTTCCAAATAAATACAAAGTTATATTTTCCTCTCTCTATTTTTTTTTATTATCAAAAATCAAAAATATATAATATGAAACAAATTTTTCATCTAAAACATTTCTAGTAAAAATAAAAATAAAAACTGTTTATTTGAATCAGTACCCAAAATACTGTTAAAATTTGGAAATTATATATACTAAATTTTTGAAAAGTTTAAATATATCTTTTATATTTGAGGGAATTTCAAAAATACCCCTTTTCCAATACTACTTTTTAAAAATACCACTCTTTCTAATTTTATCAAAAAAGTCATTGTAAAATATGAAATTTACCAAAACAAATATGTATAAACCTATATTTATAGACACAAATTATCTTTATATGTGTGCAAATTTATATATATATTTCATAAGTACCATATAAATACCTTTTAAAAATCATATAAAAAGCTTATAAAAACTTTGTAAACCTTTTAAAATCCTTATAAAAATTATATAAATGTCTTTTAGAACCTTTTAAAACCTTCTAAATATTTGAATTTAGTCTCCCAGTAGTAATGATGATCTTGATGTACCTTATCAACCTGTAAAAGTTTATAATTTTTCATATTTGAAAAGAGGTATTTTTGAAAATGAATAGAAAAGAGTGGTATTTTTAAAAAGGGGTGCACCAAAAGGGGTATTTTTCAAAAATTCTCTATATTTTTCTAACGTATATGAAATTTCTTGTTTGGTTTAATCTACTTTGGCATTTCACTCCTTAATCAACTAGTGCATATACTATGTTTTATATACCCTCTACGATACATAACATCCGCCCATGTATGTTGCTATCACATCTAAAAACACGTGCTTCTCAAACCATGAAAACAAAAAAGTATCATGTGTTTGACTCAAAACAAAACAAATCAAATATTTTATCCTTATTGAAATAGTTGTGGAATCTTCAATTTTTGATATTGTGGTTAATTAAAAAGCTTTAATGTTTAATTCAACATCAGTTTTTTTGGATTTGATCTTCGTGGGAATTTATTAGGTTTACGTAGATGGATGGGTTCGAACTTTAGTATCCCATATCACGATGTGATACATATGTTTAACCTTTGCAAACATTTTGTGTACTATATATCTGAGCAAAATGCCCACTGTCGTTTTGGTGATTTGGATCAGTGGACTTATCCTAAAGAATTGGGCATGTTAATGTTTTAAAGGCCCATTTTGGTCTGCTTAGGATTTTGTCCAGGTACAAACGACATTTGTTCTGTCGTTTTGAAGACAGCACGCTCTGCGTGTGTCTCTGGTACGGATTTGTCTTGTAAGGCGGCGACATAGTGTTTTAAAGAAGTGAGGAGCAAAGAGAACAAAATAAGCGAGAAAAAGGAGTGTTTGGCGTCACATTAGAGAAAGATTAGGGCAAAGGATGTGAGAGAGAGAAGCTTACAATGGGTGTGGGAGACATTGTCTTTTTCATTGTTGTTGTTTTTCTTTCATCAAAGAGTCTGTATCTCTGTTCGGTAAATGACATGAGCTTGGAATGAGTTTGTTCTTAGTTGTAATAGCTTCTCTGAATACTTCTTGTGAACCGGTTTCAGATTCACCGAGATGTTCTAGGATCACATCAATCTTAGGAACTCATAAATCTTTGTGTCTCTTTACTTTTTTTGCACTACAATCTTAACCTGTAAAACAGTAGAAACAGAACACAAGTTAGCAAACCTGTTCAAAGGCAAATATGTAACTTTTATGTTAAACACTCAAAAATACTCCTAAGACCCACCGTGGCTGAAGTGTTAATAGAACCATGCACCAATCGTGAACGCATGTGTTGCGTAAGAAGTGTGTGTCGTGGATTCATATGTGAAACCGTTTGTAAATTGTAATTGTATGTCTTGGGACCTAGTATGTAGTAAGATTATTTGTTTATGAAGATATATATATCATTTGCGATAAGATATTATAGATCAAATCAAAAGCAGTTGGTGTGAGATGTAAGACTTAGAAAAAGAAATAACATAGTCAAAGTAAAAAGAAATTAATAATGCTGACATATCCTATGATCGTGGATAGTGAGACTAATATTAAATACTAACTAAAGTCAAGTCAAGCATCGAAAAATATGTAATTAGTCGCTTGGTCATGATTGTAATCTTCGAGTAATTAATAGCACTACGTCGTTCTCGTATGTTCTTTGTTTAAACCTAAAGTATAATATCCTTAATTTTAAAAAATTTGTAATCACTATTTTCTTCAAAGGAATCTCGTGGATAACGTTTGACAAACCGGGTTATATATGTCATCCCTAATTAAAATATGTTTAATTTGTTAGGAATTGACGTAACCAGCAAGAAAACATTATTGAATTGGCCTTCATTTATATATATACTATTCAGTTGCTCGCGCTACGCGCGGGAATTTTATTATTTTTTTTATTAGTAATTGATTCGTGTTTTATTTCGTACTTATTTTCTCCAATACAACATATTTTTATTTTCTATCTCATGTTGTGTTTGTATAGAAAATCTATTTTATTTTAGTTTCGATAGTAGTTTAGAAATTAAGTGTCTATATTATAAATCGATGTGTAAGCATAAACAGAAGTGTTATGGCGAGTTGCAGAAAAATGTATTATTAAGGCTCCCACCAAATATAGATCTAGATGATGTTAATATTGTGGGTCCTTTTAATATGATAGTCTAAAAGTTGAGAATGATTTGTGGATTTTGCGCGGATTGTTGTATTTTTTATTTATTGATTTGGCGATCTCTTGTTTATTATCTATTTATTTTGGTTTGTTATGGTTTTGTTTGTTATTTTTTTTCGTTATATTTGTTATTTGTTATTGTTATTTAACATACATATTAGTATAATCTACTTTATACTAATTTAACATATTTATTTTATTATAATTATTATCTGAAAGGACTTTTCATTTTTTTTTGAAACAACTTGTTTACATGTGTATAAATCTTTAACTTAAATGATAAAGTGGTATAAATAAATTATTAAAATTAAAAAGTAAAATGATGTGGATGATGTTTGAAAGGACTTTTCATATTTCTTTTTGAAAACTTGTTTACATGTGTATAAATATTTAGATTAAAGAATAAAATGATATAAATAAATTATTAAAATTAAATAATAAGATGATGTGGATGATGATTAGGATGATGAGGTGGCTTAAGGAGAAGAGATCAAAGTTAACTTTATATATATAGATTACATATATTGATTTTATTTAATTTCTGTCGTGAAATTAATATTTTTCTCTTACTAAAAATTTTAAATAATCTTAACAAAAGTCTTTAGATAATAGATAAAATAGTATTTGCCGTTTTCGGGCTTCGAACCAGAACTTTTTTTGGTTTGAGTAATAAATAAGATATTTTAAGACATTACCTAGTGTGACACAACGGATGCTTTGTTAAAATTTAAATTTATATGGCATACTAGCAGTTGATCCGCGCTGCGCGCGGGAGGTTTACAATTTTTTTGTTAATTTTTTATTCATATTATGATATTTTATTTGTTTTTAATTGATTTTCAAAACATATTATAGTTATTTTCTCTTGAATTATTATCTTTCAATATTTAAATTTGGACTAAAAGCATTTTCTTTTTGATCATGTTATAAACTAATATTTCACTTTCAGTTTTATTTTTCCTCTTTAAAATTTTATATATACAATTACATAAATTTTGTTTTTATTCTACAATAAATTTAAAATTTACTTACATTTTTAAACTCAGTAACAAATTTAAAATTTTAAACTATGATCAATTTCAAATGAAAGTTGAATTATATTATTACCACTAACTAATAAAAATGAAAGTATTTCTTATTTAACATTTCATTTATTTACATAATTTATTTTTATTTATATAAACTTTCTATTAATTAAATAAGTAACATAAATATGCACTAAATGAATGTTTTAAATTTATTTTAATGTTTAAAAAAAAATGTGGCTTAGGTGGATGCTTAGGTGGCATCATGAGAAGAGAGAAAAAGCTAACTTTATATATATAGATATATAGGTCAATAGAGATGATCAAATCAAACCGTGATCGGAGAAAGAAATGGGTTCAAAGAAACCATCATATACTTTTGCTCTTCTCATATCTCTTCTCATTCTAATCATTTTCACTATTTCTTCTCAAGTTAGAGTCGTCGAAGCTACAAGCCGCATACTTGGTAAGTACTTATCTTTAGAAACTTGATAAGCCAAACAAACAAACAAACAAAAGGAGTTTATAATTTGTGCATTTTGATGTTGTAGCAAACGGAAGACCAATCATATGGACTCCAGCATCAAAGTCATGTGGAGCTTTGCACGCATCGTGGAAGAAGTATCGTCGACCTTGTAAACGTCCTAAAAGAACTCCAAGAACTGCTCCTGCTTCTTACAACTCTCCATAATACATAATTTTTTTCGCATATATTGCAATTTGAATTTCTGTAACTAATTGTGATTATCGTAAAAAGAAGAAAAACAAAAGTCAGAAATGTTTGTCGGTAATTATTCAAACCGCGACAAGAAGCTGTCAATTGAAATCACACACTGGAATAATTTTCTGATTTGTGTTAAATCACCTATAGCAGGCTTAGCTCTATGCTATAGGTTGAGTGTCAACTTCAATGGATCTCAGATAATATCTCTTATAGTTTGGGCCTGCTAGTGTTGTGTTGAAACAAGAAAAGAGACAAAAGGGGTAAGTAAATGACAACAGAGAGAACGTGAGTCATAGTGAGAGTTGTGAAAAGATAAAACTAGTGCTTTTACGGATGGACTCGATCGGGTTCTCTACTACCATTCTTTCTTTAAAAGCATTGTAATCTTGTTTTTATATTTTACCAAAATTAATCTAATTTTTTAAGTAATGCACATCGTAATACCTTACCATTCATTTTTCTAATGATATTTACAAATTAGAACAAAAAAAAAAAAATATCTAGACCTAGTAAGCAATACTCAAAAAATACCACAAGCAATATGCTATATTCACATTAAGAAAAAGCAAATTTTGAAGAAGAAAAAAAAAACAAATTATGACCAATTCAACTATAACTGATAGTGGTATAGTACTGCAAGACTTTGTTATTTTGTTTTCGACATAAGTCAAAGTCATCAGTCAGTAATCAGTCAGTTTCATAATACATATAGAGACACTAATAAAAATAAGGTGCACGAGTCAATGCTATTTTCTTCTAAGTCAACGTACATTATTAGTCAACTCAACTTTAATATTCTTCTCCACTAATTTGAAGTGACAAAGAAGTCGTATCTCAATGAATCTTGTAGGCTTGTAGGTAATGTAAAAACCGCTTTCACTAGTGAAAACTTTGGAAAATTACGTGTGAGCTAGTAATTAACTAGCTAGTGTCTTCTCTATATATATCACAAGACTTACAATGAAAAAAACCACAAAGAAGGAGAAGATGGGTTCCAAGTCTCCAAGCATGGTTGCAATTGTGTTACCTCTACTTCTTATACTTTTCACTCTTACCTCTCACGTTGAAGTCGTGGAATCTACTGGCCGCAAACTTGGTAAGTTACCAAATACACATTTTATTAATGAATTTTTCTTAAGTAAAGGTACGTAAAAGTTACATAATTAAATTCAAAAAATAAAGTTACATAATTAGGTCTTAATATTATATATACTAGTAAAAAAAACATGCATAACCACTTGGCAGTCGCGAAAATTCGTGGTTATAAGGTGTTTTAGAAAACAAAACCACGAATTATTTAAGCTACGACGTTATAGCAACGAATATTTAAGTGACTATATAGAGATTTTTTTTACTAGTTTAATGACTTTAAGAGTTATATATGTAGATGGAGCTAGCCTCTTGAATTTATTAATATTTTGTGTTATTATTTAAAAACATCTCAAGAGGTAACATATATATATTTGTATACATATACAAGTTATTACCCATAATTATGTAACTTAAATATGCTAAATTACCTTTAGATTTTGAAACAAGAGACATACAATAGAATAAATGTATGAAAAGATATTTATCATTAAGAGTAACAATTTCTGAGTAAATCTTCCGAAACTAACGAGTGTGAAAAATCGATTAGTCCACCAAAGTTATGAATTAAAAATATCTCTTTAAATTTAGTTTGAACTTTCTTAACGCAGCGTGGCGGTTTTCGGGATCGCATAATTTGTACACACCACCATCAAGGTCATGTGGAACTTCCCCAGCAGTATTCACTTCAAGGTACCGGTGGAGAAGACGTCGACCATGTAGACTTCATTCAGGAGGTGGTATTAGCACTGCTGACAAATCTCCTTAACTACGTGATTTTGTGTCTCTATGTCAGAACAGTGATGCTCTTTGCAATAACAAAGTGTCGTATGGGGTTTTAAGATTTGGTTTTCTTGTCTCAACTCTCAAGTGTACTAAGTAGGTTTTGTCACGTATTATGAGTCAATAAACTTAATGAACTAATACTTATTGGTATGTTGAGTCGATGATCAATTACTAATGTTATTATCTATTATTACCATACTGAGCCTTCTGCAGTAAAATGTTTAAGGTTTTTTTTTTGATAAACCCGATCTGCTGATCCGGTAAGCTCTGCAAGGATCGCACCGAAGTGCTACAATGTGGACTCGTCGTCAATACCTAGGTGTTGGGCTAGCACATCGTCTGGATCCAGATTAACGCTTTCCGACTAATGCCCAGGGTAATCAGGCCGCCTGCATTTCTGATTATCAGGTAAACCAATTGGGCCTAACCCTAACTGACAGACTTCCCACAAAAATGGTGTTAACAGCAAAGTGGAGAATCGAACCCAGGTTGTGGGAGTTGCACCCTTTCTCCTAAGCTCCCCTACCACTAGCTCACCACCTTCTGGGCAAATGTTTAAGGTTTTGTGTTAAGATAAAAATAAATTAAAAATGTTTACATCTCTATAGTAAAATGTTTCTTTGAATCAGTACCCAAAATACTGCTAGAATTTGGAAGTTTATATATACTAATTTTTTAAAAAATTGGAAGTTTATATATATATATATATATATATATATATATATATTATTTGCGATAAGATATTATAGATCAAATCAAAAGCAGTTGGTGTGATATGAAAGACTTCGAAAAAGAAATAACATAGTCAAAGTAAAAAGAAATTAGTAATGCTGACATATCCTATGATCGTGGATAGTGAGACTAATATTAAGATACTAACTAAAGTCATTAGTCGCTTGGTCATGATTGTAATCTTCGAGTAAATAGCACTACGTCGTACTCGTATGTTGTTTTTTAAACCTAAAGTATACTAATATCCTTAATTTTTTAAAAATTGTAATCACTATTTTTTCAAAAGGAATCTCGTGGATTACGTATGAGAAACCGCGTTATATATGTCATCCTTAATTAAAATATGTTTTGTTTTGGAGTATACATTATTGAATTGGCATTACTCTACATATATATAGATTGTGCAGTAGAGATGATCAAATGTATGATAAAATCAAACCGTAATTAAAGAGAAAGAAATGAGTTCAAAGAAACCATCATATACTTTTGCTCTTCTCTTATCTCTTCTCATTCTGGTCATGCTCACTCTTTCATCTCAAGTTAGAGTAGTCGAGGCTACAAGCCGCATACTTGGTAAGTACGTACTAATTTACTCCAAATCGATTATGGTTTTAAGTAAATCTAAACCTCTAAGTACCAAAATCGATTTGTAATAAATTACTCTAATCGCAAAATAGTTTAAATCGCAGTTAAATATATATTGATTGGATTTAGTTAGTTGAAAATAATTTTATAGAATATGTGGAGTTTTTTAAGTCTATAGTTTATACACAAATTCAATTAGGCAGAGGGTGAAAGTAAAAAGTAAACATATTTAAACGTTTATAATATAGGAAGATTAATACATGCATCCCTTAGAATTTTCATAATTACAATCCTCTGGTCGCATAAGCCAAAACATGGTAGTCAAATTAAACAAACAAACAAAAGTAGTTTATTTGTGCATTTTTTATATGTAGCAAATGCAAGACCAATCATATGGACTCCAGCATCAAAGTCATGTGGAGCTTTGCATGCATCGTGGAAGAAGTATCGTGGACCTTGTAAACGTCCTAAAAGAACTCCAAGAACTGCTCCTGCTTCTTACAACTCTCCATAATAAAACCACAAGACACAGTTTTACTTCTCTTTGTTTTGGAATTTTCGGGGGTTAATGTGTTATGTGACAAAATTAAGTGTATGGTTTTCTTATTTTGTTTCCCTTCCGAATGTTTGAATTTAGTATGTACTATAATTAGATCATATATGCAAGGATACAAACTATATACTAGTCTCCCATATCTTTCTTTTCAAGAAAAAGTTATTAGCATTCATAGTCACTTTTTCTAATAAGAGTTAATAGCATTTATAGTCACTTTTTAAAAAGTAAGTGTGCTTTAAGTAACTTTCTCAATTCAATTATATGGGTAAAATATTGTACCACTATGGTCCACCACATATTCACGGGCTCACGTTCCCACCACACATCCTAATCCTTCTTCTTCTGCTTCTTTTTCTCTTTCACATCTCCATACTCTCTGTATAAAGCTTCGAAAACAACTTTTATCACAATTTTTTTTTTTTTTTTTCTAATTTTTCGATCTTACTTAAATTAGTTTTATTTTGTTTCATATTTGTTACAGTTATAAAATAATTAAGAATCAGTCTTGCAGTTGAATGAAAAACAAAATGAAGAAAAAAGTTTTGTTATCTTCTATATTACTCTTATCTCACTCGTTTTTATAAGATCAAGAAAAAGTACTCCATTTTTCTTCATAAATTCATTAATATTGTTAAGTTCTTTCTCATATATTTCTCGTAGAGAAAATTGTATTCTCTGCCATGAACAGTGTTATTTCTTCTAATAAATGCCACTTTCATTCCAATCTTATAAAAAATGCCATAGGACCCATTTTAACTCATAAAAATGTCAATTCTATCCCTCACTCAAACTTTCTCTCTTTTCTTTCATTTTTTCTCATCTCTTTCTCTTCTTCTTTCATTTTTTCTTTCTTTCTTTCTCTTCTTCTTTCATCTTTTCTTTCTTCAACAACAAACAAATCTCTCTACAATTCCGGCAGACTAGTTCCGGCGAACCATTTCCGATGGACCAGTTCCGGCGAACCAGTTGCAGTTCCGGCGGACCAGTTGCAGTTCCGGCGGACCAGTTCCAGTTCCAGCGGAATATAACCAGTCTTAGTAGACCAGATCTGATAGACGAGATATGACAGACCAGTTTCGATGGACCAATTCTGGAGTATCAGATCCGGCAAACCAGTTTCAGTGGATCATATCAGGTGAAGAAGTTACAGCGGACCATAACCAGTTCTGATGGACCAGATCTGGTGGACCAGAATCTGTAGACCAAACTTGTCCATCCTACAGATTTCTTGAAACCACAAGAAATTAAGCAGAAGATAAAACAAATGATGCATCTATGTAAGATATCATCAATGATCCATCTAGGTATACACTTTCGATCACACATTTGTGCGTTGATGGACTAGATTCGGTGGACTAGATCTGATGTCTGTAATATGTCCATTTTTTGTTTCTTAATTTGTTGTCCATTATACGTATATAGTAAAAGCAAAGAGTATCGGCAAAAAAAAAAACTTGTCTATTAATTAATGTCCATAATTGGTTTATGTCAGATTTTTTGTCTTCTTTCTTTAAGGGCATTTTTGTCTTTTTAATTTACAATAAAAATGAATATGGCATTTTACAAAATACAAAGTTGAAAGTGGCAGTTTTAAAAGTTTGAGTTTTGAAAGTGGCATTTTACATAAAATTCCCTTTCTCGTATCTGTTTTTGTTCGCTTTGTATTCTTAGATCTTATAATTACTATGTCCATGTGGATATGTTCATGTGAATATGTCCATTCGTTCACTACCTACCAACTTTGACATGTTTAATAATAGATATATGATTATTAAACTCTACTTAAAGAACCATATGTAATGGACTATAGATTAGGTACTATGCTAAATGGACATCTTCCTTCCCATATGAGATAACTTTTTAACTTACAAATTATTTCATTTTCTATCCAGTAAAATCCATAAAAAAAAATTTACTATCGCCGCCAATTTCCTTCTCCGCCGTCAAACTCTATCCCAATCAACCATGTTGACTTCGTCACATTATCCCAATCTCGTACCTTTTTTTATTAGCTTTTTGTGCCTCTTTTTTGTCTGATTAATTATGTTCATGTGGATTTGTCCATATATGCATAATTGACCAACATATGCATATATATTAATGGACATCCCGCTCTAACATTTAAAAGCACACTATCATCAAACTCACCATTACCAGTTCACATAACCTTAGACTATGTATAATATACGATATATAATGGACATCTATCTTCACTAACGAATACTTCTTTCAGCTTTCTTATCAGTTTTTGAACTGCACTTGGTGTCCACATTTGGCCGTCCATTTAAACTCTCTATCTTGGACAAATTCACTGGCCACCCCTCCTCCTCCTCCAAAAGTCAATCGGGTACAATGGATGTAAATGGTAACAACAAAATATATTCAGCTGAATTCAGCAAGATTCATCGATTACCATTTGCTGTATAACTAAATTCAGATAAATTCAACTAAATTTAATATTTTTTTCAACATCCGACAATCTATACGTATGTTTGTTCGGATAAAAGTTTTGATACCAGCGAGTACATAATTCGAGTTAAAATATTTCATATATCACAAATATACGCTCATTTTAAAAAGTAAACTAGGTACTACAGATACGATATATAAATAATTTAAATAGAACAAGATGCAAATTCATGTTTGGATAGTTTTAATAACTTTAAGATCATTTAAAATAATTGTTTCATTTTTTTTGCAAAACCAACTCATAACTTTATTAAACTGTTATATAAATTAATTATCAAGATTTTTAGTAATGTTCTTAATTATGTTCTTCACATTATTTATTAAATTACTAAAATAAAAAGAAAATGGCAAATAAATCATTTATATTATATCATCATGTTAATTTTAAAATTAATTACCTAATAAATGCTTCAACAAAAAAATTATAATTATTTACATGATTTATAGTTTTATAAATAAAAAATTTACTAACTAATTTTGTACAAAGTCACAAAGATTCAACTAGATTCAATAGTTACCATTCAAAAATGTAAAATTCAGCCAGATTCAGCAAAAAGAAATACTAAAAATGCAGCAAAATTCAGAAATTCAGCCATATTTAACAAAAATTATTAGATTACCATTTAGACACAAAGTATGAAAATGTGGCAAAATGAAAATGTGGCAAAGTTATAGGACAAAGATATAGAGTCTTAATTTTTATTTAATAATAGTACAAACATATTTCTCGAAACTCTTAAAATCTAATGTTTAAATCAAGTGTTTTGCTTCCTATTTGAAGGGATCTTATCTGAATTAAACATACTATAAAAACATTTATTGAAAGTTGCCCAAAAAAAACAAAAAAAAAAAAAAAAAAAAAACATTTATTGAAAGAGTTTCTCTCAGCTTACCTTACACACTTGTGGCAGTTTCTCTCAATTTCGATCGAAGTATATAGTTTCCAAACTATTTTACTCATCGTCAGTTTGGCCATTGTAAATATTGATCCTAATTATCGCTATAAGAGCTTTAGGCATCAAAATATATTATTAGTTTGAAGGGTTCAAAATTTGATGTATGACATAAAGTGCAACAGCTGAGCACATATTTAAAACATAGTCTTTCAACAAAAAAAAAAGGCCAACAACAAAAAAAAATGGGTTATTAATTTTTGCGTTTTATATTGGTACAATCTATATATCAAACTCCAATTTTATGCTAAATTATTTTTGATTGATATTAATTAATAACTAAGGTTAATATGAAAGATTAGATTACTATTTTTGTTAGCTAGCTAGTAGAATGATATAATATTAAAAATTTGAAATTGTAAACGAAAGATTTATTCGTTTTGTCAAAATTTTGATATATTATATATGTGTGATTAAAAGTAAAACTAAATATTTCGGATCAATAAATTAAAATAGTTGTGAAACCCTTTAGATATTACAGTGGTTTGATTGAGGCTCTAGACATTACGTCTAGGATTTGACTTTTTAGAGTACAATTTTTTGCAATTTATGGATGCAAAATTACAAAATATTAGACCGCCATATGCATGGTATCATGGTCGTAGGACTGTCCATTATGGTTCATAGTCATGTCATAGAAACCACTAGTTATTAATTTATGTATTGCAATGTGTGTCGTTGAATCGTTCACATGAGTATATATATACATATATGAGTGTGTGTGTGTTGGAGGTCGGTTTGTAGTTAAATATATTTTTGCATTGATTATTCTTTAATTTTGCAATAGAATAAATTTACATATAAATGATATAACTAACGACGTGATGACGACGTGATTTAAGAGAAAATTAATGAGATAGTCAAAGTAAAAGAAACGACAAGTCAAGCATTGAAAAATATGTACTCTTCAAACTTATCACTCTTATCAGTCAATTAATTAGTCATGGTTGTTATTTTCCAATAATATGTAATTTCAAATATGTCGTATATTGTAGAACATAGGTCGTATCTGTAAATTTACTAAGCAATTCAACTTAAAATCATATAATAAATTAAAATTTTATATTTTCGTAATAACTTGTATAGAAACCGCGTTTGACATTGCTAAGTAAATAAAGGTTATTTAGAAAATGATGTAATAGCTAGATAACATAATTAAATTGACATTGCTCTATAAATAATGGCCACGAAACACTTTAGATATGATCAAAACATAGCGTGACGAGAACAACAATGAGTTCGAAAACATCACATATAATTGCTTTTAGTTTATCTCTTCTCCTTATGATTCTTGCTCTTTCTTCTCAAGTTGGAGTCGTGGATGCTACAAGCCGCAAACTAATTGGTAACATAATACGATTTGTTCACTTAACCATGATTATGTAACGTAATTAACATATCATCGGATAGCTGATTAATAGAGATTTTGAAATTGATGTTGCATGCAGCAAGGGGAACACCCATAATATGGACTCCAGGATCAAAGTCATGCGGAGCTTCACATGCATCGTGGACGAATAAACCTCCTCGACCATGCAAACGTCCTCCAAGATATGTTCCTGTTTCTACTCAGTCTCCATGAGACATTTCTTGCTTTTGTGTTGAGTATCTTGGGGACTTTAAGGTTCTTGTGAAATAAATAAAGTGAACTATATCATTTGTTTTCTCGTCTAAATAATGTATGAAATAGTACTGTCTAATGTAAAAATATTTGAAATATACAACTCCATATTATATATTTCTGATTTTTATTTAGTAAATAATTAATATTACCTTTATAATTATTTAGATATTTTAAAATATTGTGTACAGAAATTAAAATTTCATTTTTTATAGGAATTACGTTCTATTAAAATAGCTATTTGACACAATTCAACTAATACAAGATAATCGGCATAATATAAATTGCAAAAGTCAATAAAAGTTTAACTAATATTACATAAATTAGTATCATCTATTTTTTAAAATAATATAAACCTAAAAATTATTTAATAAAAAAAAACTGAGGAAGTAGCAAATTTCTCATTAGTTAAAATTAAGTTGACATTATTACAACAAGTTAAAAAAGACAATCTCGTACCAAAGTACAACAAACAAAACACGTAGGCTTCGGTCTCTTCAAAGTTTCGATCCAGTGTTTCGCACCCTACTCGAACCGCTCTCATCTAAACCAATCGTATGGACAAGAACCTCTCTTAAAAGACTCTCTCTCATCTTACCATACACGTGTCCATCACAACCTCGCCTAACAATCTCCTCACCTAACCTAACGGCGGCTTCAACTGTCTCCGCCGCACTATCATACGCCGAGTCAACAACACCCATTTCCACACCTTTATCCGCCGTCACTTTAGCCGCCGTCAACATAACATCCCTCCTCGCCGCCGGAGAACCAATCTTTAACCTAATCACAGCCATAAACCACGCCGGAACTTCCAAATCAATATCCAATTCACTCATATACAAAAAACCTCTGTCACGACGCATCAACACGTAATCATGACTCATCGCTAAAATAAATCCCGCGGCGGAGGCGTGACCTGTGACGGCGGCGATGGTTGGCATAGGGAGAGAGATGAGATCGGCGACTAAAGATCTGAGTTTTGAGTCCATTGGAACAGAGAGAGATGGGTTTGATTTGGCTAAAGCGAGATCGTAGCCGTTGGAGAAGAACTTACCATCTGATGTTGTGATGAGTACTGATTCTGAAGATGATTTGTCGGAACGGATCTTGTTGATGTTGGAACGGAGAGAGTCGAGTAAGGTTGGGTTGAGACGGTGTTCGCCGTCGCCGGTGAGTTTTAGTATGAAAAGCCGACCACGTTTCTCTAATGAACACATATCTCTCTCTCTCTCTGATCAGTTGATTTGGATAAAAGAGAGTATGTGTAATATTGTAATTTGTCACGTTTGTGTTTTATATACTAACTAGGTCCGGACCCGCGCTACAGCGCGGGGGAAAATTACCGGGTTTTTAGTCTTTGTACGTTGCGAGATAATTTTATTTGTGTTTGCTTTACTTTCTTTTGATCAGTAATTAAATTTTATCATTTTTAGATTGTACGTGTTGGTTTCGAATATGTTCAAAATTATTTAAATTGTATGATTTTAGTTGGATTGTTAATTTTAGAACAATATGTGACATATATACATGTATAAATATTATACAATGAAAAAAAAATATTATACAATGAATCATTTTTAAAATTTAGGGATTGACCCGCGGTACACCGCATAATCATAAATACATGATTTTAACTTGAACCTTTCATGCAGTTTTGTAAAGTTGCAAATCTCTAGAATAAACAAATAAAGAGCCAATGTTTTCTTATTTCTTATCGTGTTAAAGTGTAATCTGTGTTGATGTTACAATTTTCCGGTAGCAAAAACTTATTTATATAGATCATATTTTCTCAGGATTAAATTGAAAAAATATTAGTTTTATAATCAAGCCAGAAATTCGAAACTATTGCCAAATAAATATTAAAGATGGTCATAGACAAAAAAAATATATATATTAAAGATGGTTGAAAATGAAATATCCCGTAACTGGTGTGAAGATCATAGTTAATATAGGAGAAAACTATACATCCAAATATCAATATAGGATATTTAAGGAAGATTTTGTTTTGAAATATCATGGATAATTTGATAATGATTATTTTATATTTAATTTATATTTCTGATTTTTAGGTTAATTTGTTAAACCAATATACAAAATCATACATTAATGTATTTTTCCTTAAACAAATTAAGATTAATGTACTTTCCCAAACCGATATTGATGATTTAATTTGGTAGATTTCGAAATAATATATATGGAAACTGGTATTTAATATCCTTAATTTTTTAGTAAGATCCAACTGAAAAAATCCGGGTTAATTTTTTTTTTAAACCCGACCCAAGAAGCATTTGTACTTCTCTTTTACTATAGTAGGGATACAATTTTAGGTTTACAATGTATTTAAGTATTTATGCATTTAAGTATATATTGCATAAATTATTGGAAAAAATTCAAATTCAAAGATTAATTACTATACTAATTTATAAAATATAAATGTTAGTTGAGTTATTTTTTTTTCTTTTGTCGGCCATTTATACAGAAAGATTTAACACATTAGATGTATACAAAAGCTAACAGTGTAGAAATATGTGTTTATCTTGGCCATGTCACGTATCTTGAGGAATCACACCACCGTAAGCTTTTGTCTATGTCTTCACAATTCTAATCAAGTTTCCTTAGATTGATAGATTCATCTTTTGCTTGGTGGATAACTTTTTTCCTTTACAGATGATAAGTTATTTTTATTTTTTAAATATCTATTTTTATTTTGTTAAGAATAAAAAAAAAAGTAGTATTATACCAACATTAACAATGGGTTTTAGAGAGTATGTTAGGGTATTAAGGTTATAAAAATAAATCAAAACTGATTAATTTTACTAAGATACTTGAGTTGGGTATGTTGGAGAAGCATTCTTTTTGTGGGTTAAGAGACGCCACGTGGCGCAATCGGATTGGGTAAGTTTTTTTTTTTTTAATTTTTTAATTTTTTAATTTTTTTTGGAAAATGATTCTTTTGGTGGGTTATTACATTATAATTTTTTTAAAAAATTTTTTTAAAATTTTTTTTGTAAACCATTTATTATGACATTACTATAATTTCTATGAATTGGGTAAGTTGATAATTATATTATGACATAACAATTTTCAAATTTAACTATGAATTTGATGAATCGATGTTAAGAAAAACCCAATAATATTAGCCATACATGAAAAACACAAGTCAATTTTCTTATATTACAAATTATAAATTTATTTAATTTTAAAAAAAAATCTAAGATACCCAACTTAAGATCCTACCAATAAACACATCTCAAAACTAAAAACAAATAAAAACTCTTAAACTCTACTTTTTCAAATTTAATACTAAATTAATACTAACATACCCTAACTAACATCCTTCCTACAATGTTGCTCTTAGTAACTAGCATTTGACTCAAAAACAATTAAGATACTAGTCATACAATTTTTTTATGGGGAAATAGATATGGCCCCACGTTCTAGATAAAGTAACCAAGTCGCCTTGGTCCAGTGGTAAAGGGAGGTAAGTTTCGCCACCAGGATTCGAGTAGTATTGGCCACGGGGATTCAAGATTTAACATAGTTTTCCCCGGCCCCATGAGATTAGTCTTTGGGCCTAGATAGCCTTTGGGATCACTCCTGAGTTATAATAAATAAAAAAAATCATCCTTGTTTTGTTTTAGAGTGAGATAGAAGAAAATAAAGATTCGGCGGCCGAAAAGCAAATGAGATTTGTGTTCACGAAATTTCAAAAAATAACATGTAATATTTATACTTAACATGTTATATATCCACAAAAACATGGTATTTGTAAAAATAGCATTGTTATTTGTGAAAATTAAACTAAATAGCATGTTATATAAAAACATAGCATGTTATTTGAGAAAGTATCGTGTTATATAAAAACATAGCGTGTTATTTGAGAAAGTATCGTATAAAAAAGAAAAATATTCTAACATCATGTGTAATTCAAAGAAGTAGCATGTTACAAAAGAAAATGACAAATATTCTAATACGACTGAACATGTGAGAGAGAAGGAAAGAGAGAAAATGAAAGGGACCAAGAGAGAGAGAATGAGGGGAGAAAGAAAGTGAGAGTAAAGCAGAGGAGAGAGATTTTGTGTTTTTGGTGGAAAATAAAAAGAATATAGATATAAGAAATAGATAGAAAAGCATTGAATCATATAAGTGTTTTACGTGATTTTAAAAAATAGTATGTAATATATACAATGGATATAATAGTAATTATAACTGAAGAGAGAGAAAGCCCTCTGACATCATGGCTATTTTCTTAATTCATTTTGATTTCATGGCTATTTAGTGCATATTCTCTAAAAAAAAGTTTTAGTGATTTATTTATTTATTTAAAATAACTTGGTTTTGAAACCCATGCGTTTATTTGATATATTTTGGTAAAAATTATATACGATTGATGATATTTATTAATTATAATTTTATAATAAAAAATAAATTATTGTTAATACAATAGCATTTAAAAATCATATGAAATCTAAGAATCATGAATCAAACATGTTTTCTCAAACTCGATTGGTTGCCAACACAATGTCTTCGTATTTATTTTCACATTCGTCGTTTTCCTACTCTTCAGTATTCACATTCTTTCTCGTAATCTTGATTATGGATATCATGACGTTATCATCATTACTTTCATCGTCTACTTCTTCGCTATATTCTGATTTTTGATCTTCCTAATCATCTTCCCCACTTTCCTCATACTCTCCATTTTCTGTTTCGTAAAACATCTATTATTATGTAGTTAAACAAAGTAAAAAAATTTAATACTTACTAACCTTAACCAAACATATATCTCCATAAGCATATAAATTAATTACCCAAATTTTGTTTTTAGTTTGACCTTCATGACCTTGCATTTGACCTTCATTTAACTTTCTAAACTTGAACAATTTTAGTTTGATGTGCATTCACTTGTAGTTTAACGTGAACAATTTTCATTATATTAGCCAAGAGAACCTCCAAGCATGTTCTTACATGTATGTTTCTGAACTCCCTCCTGCACACCACTTCCTTATATTTATTATCATGTGACACTTCTTGGGCTCACGCAATTAATGATGCACTCGTTAGAAGCACCAAATAACCATTCAAAATAATTTGTTTTAGAGTCCCACACAACTTGTTATAGCAAACTTTGTGCCACTTCCAAAACCAATAAACTCTTTTTGCCTCTTTTCTCATAATATATGTGCCATTCAAGACCAACATTGCACTATCTGTACTCAATTATCGATACTTTCATACGTATAGTCGGTTAAAGATCCACACATATTAAAACTCTTAAAACCAAAATCCTGAATGCTAGAAAATTGCAAATTCCCTACAGAAGAATTAAAGAGCATAAACTTGGCCACATGTATAGCAAATAATTAATGTGTGCTTGTTGTTTATCCTTTTTTTTTTTGAACAAATTTTTTAACTCAAATCAAGATCTTTCGATTCGTAACCGATATGAAAGAGCACACACATCAACCATTGATGCTTGCCATTGATCTTTCTTCAGACTAAAAAAACCGAAACACATGTTTTACGGCTCATAAAAGATATAAAGCATAGACAGCCTTATAAAAGACCAAATCAAATTAGTTTTATTTAAATTTTAATATCAATGAATATGATTATAAGAGATTGATACAAATAGTAATTTTCTTTTACTTCCATCGATAACACTTATTAAAATAAAAATTGCCATCGAAGGTTCCTGATAAACAAAAACGATTAGGCATTATAGTCCAACTACATCCATTACACTGATCTTGATCTCTGTCAGCGTTATATGCATCAAACCTTCTTACCTGGCCATTCCAAAAAATCCTACATGTGAACAGTGTAGTTCTAAACCAGCTTGGTCTAAACGTCCATTGAATTTTTTCTCCTGTCCGCAACACATGCTTACCTAGGTCATCGTCTTTAGATCTACAACTTATTTCCAACCTTCCTGACGGGATTTTGTTGGTGATAGTGACAACGGTTTTGGCAAAGGGATTGTTGAATCCATGACAAGGATTGATGACATAGCAAAAGATTATAGAGAGAACGACGAGTAATTTTGATGAATTTTTCATTTTTTTTTAAATTGGAAGTGTTGTGTTTGTTAGATTCACATGGTTATATTAGTTTTGTATTTATAGGATTGATTTTGTTTTAGTGATTTATGAATTGGGAACCGTTGTAATTAGATACATTTATATAGGGGGGTTACATTAAGCTAAAAAAAATTCCAATAATATTCGTTATGCTATTTTGTTATTGCATTTATAAAC